GTCGCCGCCACCAGAGCCCGAAAAATGGTCTCGTGATAACCACCCCGCCTTCAAGAAGGCCCCTCCGCCTCCAGAAGAAAAGGAAGAGCCTCCAGTTACGTATCATGTGAACGACACTGTCATGGCCAAATGGGTATCTGGAGACAAGAATTTCTATCAGGCTAGAATCACTTCCATCACTGGGTCGTCCGCCGCACCGATATACACTGTCAAGTTCAAAAGTTACGACAATACAGAGACTCTAAGATCAAAAGATCTAAAGCCCATTTCTAATAAGAGGAAAGCTGACGACCCTCCTCCGCAGCCGTCGGCTCCAGGTGTTGTGTCGTCTGCTGGGGCTACGATGTATCCTGGTGCCCAGCACGAAGCCCAGAAGGATGCGGAGGCTGCGAAAGCCTCGAAGCCAAAAAAGATCAAGGCCAAAAAAGAGCTCGAGGCCGGCAAGGCTAAATGGCAAGCATTTAATGCGAAGTCTAAATTTGCCAAAACGAATAAGAAGGATAGCATGTTCCGCACGCCGGAGGGTATTCATGGAAGAGGTATGTGTATGCGTATAATATCGTCTTGATGAGCAAGACCTATACGTCGGGTTGTGCTAACAATTGGCGATTTAGTGGGCTTTACTGGCTCTGGCCAAGCTATGCGGAAAGATCCTACTCGATCTCGTCATGTTTACCAGGTAAACGAAGACCTAGACTAACGACTCTCCTTTTCTTTTTTTCTAGTTTATGTTCACAAGCGCGATACCAAGCTAGATTGGCGTTAAGGGATGGATGTGTTAAGGTTAGGTGGGATTTCACGCTATATCTCGGTAATATGCCTCCCGATTGATAAAGGCTGAGGCTAACCTTGTGTATCTTCGCCCTTGAAACGGCCTGCTGCCGAAGCTCGCAATAGTTCGGAAAACATAGGATATACCACGTCGACAGGGCATAAATCATTCTTGTCAGTTCGAAATCATGATTTGGGTCTAGGCTTGACTGGGCTCTACTGATATGGTACTTAAACCCTTGCGAGATCACGACTGTGCAGACGTGCTAATGGCTTTATGTGTGGGATATCATGTGTATTGAAACAAAGATTGTACACGGAGCTATCATCTCTTATATTCCTAATTCCTCTCCAAGCCAACTTTTGGTAAGATTTTATCGGCGACCCGTAGAAACGCTGATGCTCTCTCACTTGATGGCTCGGCCACTACCGTAGGCTTCCCTCTCTCGGCATCATCTCCAATGTTTGGATGTAGAGGAATATCGCCCAAGAAGCATATCTCATGATCTTTGCACATCCTCTCGACTCTTTCACTCGACCCAAACACATTCGTCTTGCCATGGCAATGGGGACATACGAACAGTGACATATTTTGGACCAGGCCTAGAATATTCACGCCCACCGCCTTGAACATGTTGATACCCTTGACAGCGTCTTTCGTTGCGAGGGTATGAGGGGTTGTGACGATTATAGACCCTAGGAAATTAACGTTAGCAGACACGTAGCCCATGAACCACAGGGACAAGGGGCGGAGAGGTTGGCTGGCTACCGTCTAAAATGACTTGTTGGGTTATGGTCAACTGTGTGTCGCCAGTACCAGGTGGCAGGTCTAGAACCAGAATTTCCAAACCGCCCCAATCTACTTCGTGAAGTAGCTGTTGAATGGCTTTCATCACCATTGGTCCTCGCCACACAACCGGCGCATTCTCGCCAACTAGATAACCCATTGACATGGTTTTGACACCATAATTCGTGAGAGGAACAAGCTGGTTATCTGCAGCAAGATCAGTTGTCTGTCCAGAAGAGTATATCTAGTAAGACAAAAACTTACTTCTTGATAATCTTGGCTCTCCGGACAAGTCAAATAGTGTTGGAATCGACGGCCCAAATATATCTGTGTCTAAGATGCCTGCTCGGAACCCCAACCTGGCAAAAGCCAGGGATAGATTGGCTGCCTCATTGACATTAATATGTGTGAATACTGTCGCATTGGAAAGGCCAGGAACTCACCCGCGACTGTGCTCTTGCCAACACCGCCCTTGGCAGATGACACGGCGATGACCGTTTCAACTCCAGTGATCTTGCGTCGCTGGGGACGTTTTGCCCAGGTTGGGGGCGTGCCAGATCGGGGCAAGCCCTAGGCGTATGTCAGACTATATGAAGAAAAAGGAAAGACAAGGTACCGCAGTAGATGGATAAATTGGGAACTTACTAGAGGGTTTTCATGATATAATGGGCGAAACGACTGAAAGAGACGTGCTGTTGTCTGGCGCATGTTTGGGACTGCTATCGCCGCCACAACTTATGCGAAAATTTAACGCTAATAGAATTGGGTATTGTCCACGTTGAGCATTAGGAAAATACTGTGATTAATTCCAAGACCTCCTAGGCTGGGCCAGATCTTGGGACCAGTGACTGTATGTATCTGCGTTAGGCTTGCACTGTGTCCTATGGAGGCAGGCAATGGGAGGCGGCTCCAGCACAGACCCACCGCCAGCGTAGAGCTGTGTTCTGCCAATGCACACCGCCTAAAAGTTGAAGCTGGAGCGATAGGCACAAAATCTTTTGAACGTGGGGCTCATGTTTGATCTTCAATCAAGCCTTGGGAGCTGGACGGAAAAAAAAAACATGGCCAAAGTAAAAGGCCGCGCCAAGCAGTTCCAGGACCCAGACGAGGTCATTATCAAAGGTACTTGGACCAACCCGATAGCATTGAATTTTTTCACAATCACATAAACTAACATTTACAGACCACGACCCAGAAGCCAATGCGCCTGACGAAGCCAATGGCAGCGGTAGTGAGGCCAGTGAAGACGAAAATCTGGGCACGGAGCACTATGTTCGCGTGGGAAAGAGCAAATTGAGACAGAAAGAAATCGTTGCACTCGGCCCTGAATATAGGGGCTCTCGGGTTAGCCGATCTGCATTGGATAACGAGACCGAGGATGACCAAAACGCAGAGGAAAGTGAGGGCGACGATGATGATGAAGACGACTACGACGATCCCGATGTCGCCGACCTGGAAGACGATGAGGCCGGGTCCAACGACTCGGAGATTGACAGCGATAATGCTCTAGGCGAGTCGGATGCCGAACGGTTTAAAGACTACACTTTTCGTGGCAGTGCCAAGCCTGCAAAGCCCAAGGGGGCCAAGAGGGCGACTGCAGCAGACTTCATGTCTGAAGATGACGAGAATAGTGAATCTGACAAAGATGAAGATATGGATGATGGACTTGATGCGCTGGTGAATGGTGGAGACGACTCTGAAGATGTGGACGAGAAGGACGAAGAGGATAGTGAGGATGACGATGGCGATGGTGATGATGATGACGACGAGGACGAGGAGGATGACGAGGACGGCGACGATGACGATTCTGAACAAGATCAACAGTCTGGGGAGAAAATTGCAGCCAGACCCCACCTATCTGCTCTGTCCAACAGAGCTGATGTCGACAAAGGTGTTGCTATTCAGAAGCAGCGCAAGATTTACGATGGTTTGCTCAATCTACGCATTCGATTACAGAAAGCGCTCGTTGCTGCCAATTCATTCCCCACGGTTGAGGCGGGCACTGATGCCGAGTCTGAGCCATACGAAGCTGCTGAAGAAGCTGCCATCAAGCTGCTGAACACCATTAGCAGCTTACGTGAAAGCATCAAAGCGCCAACTAAAACCGGCGAGAAGCGCAAGCGCGATATTGTTGCGTCAATGTCAAACGATGACATCTGGGCACAGCTACAAGACGAAGACAAGGACGCAACTGGCTTTCGCCAAGAACGATTAGAGAAATGGTCCAAAAAAGTCCAGAGTGTCAACATGGCAAGACCAAAGGGAATTAGCGAAAAGAGCAAGACCCTCATTAGTGCTCTTCAAGAGCAGTTAATAGTCCCCAACAACAGGCTTGTCAAACGGACACGAGTCCCTCGCTCCTGTGCCCCCGCGCAGCTTGCTAAGAAAGTCGCCACTGACGAGTATATCTACGATGACGCTGACTTCTACCAGCTGCTCCTAAAGGAATTGGTTGATCAGCGAACTGTAGAAGGAGTCGCAGACTACGCTACTGCTGTCCCGACGGTGATGGTCACAGCGACAAAGGAGGCCAAGGTGCGCAAGCAAGTGGATCGCAAGGCTAGCAAGGGACGGAAGATGAGATTCACGGTGCATGAGAAATTGCAAAACTTCATGGCGCCAGAGGACAGGAGAAGCTGGGAACAGGAGGCCATTGACCGTTTCTTTGGGACGCTATTCGGGCGCAAGTTGGAGCTGAACGAGGACGAGAGCGACAATGAGGAGATGGAGGGAGTGGATATTGAAGAGGAAGGGCTGAAGTTGTTTAGAAATTGAGTCATGCATTTGTAAATATATAGGTGGCAAGCTGAAGTTGAGAATTTACCTTGACATGAAATGAGGACGGAACTAGAGCGATGCTAGTTGCGGTGAGGCCTTTATAATGGCAATCCCATGGTGATGACCAAGTCATGACTTTCAGGGCCTTCCTATTGTCAAGAAAAACAAAAGTTGCAGTTTACTGCGTCTGGTTTTACCCTGGCGCAGGACATTTGCTCGTCAGCCGGACCCTTTTGGCGCGCATCCCGGACGGGCAGAGATGGAACTCACCCACTGTCTCATCTCTTCCCCAACGAACGTAGATACTATTACTGTCCAATACTGGGTAAAGATGTGTGCCATCTGCAGGTACTTTCCAAGACATGCCACTCAAGCATTTGGCCGCCGCCACCAAAGTTAGCTCTCCCGTCTGTGCGGACGTCACGTGGGGCTGTCAACCCTCGCGAAGGATGAATTTTGGCCGCTCTGGCACTCTTGCAGTGCCGGGTGGCACGCTGGCACGCTGGCTGAGCCGGCGCCAGGTAACTACCTAGGTATTTGCCATCTACCCCCCTTCTGTTATTATTAAACACAGGTGCCTTTCTTTTCTTCCCGACTCCCCTAGTCTCACGGTCTGCAACGACGGGTGAAGGCAAAAGGAATTGATGTAGTCGGGCGCAACAACATGGAGCAGATCCAGACACAAGCGTCGGATTTGCGCTACCTGGCGCAAGCTCCCGCCGCACTGAGCGACACGGCAAGCATATCCTATGATACACCGCGGCCTGGGCCACACACCAGTCCGTCTGGTTCCGCTTCATACGGAGACAATTCCGCTGGCATCGGTGCTTCTGCATCGGCGTCCAATGCTAACAAGAAGAAGTCGATGGACGACGGAGCAGCGCAGAAACAGACGAGGAGTAAGAGGAATCGGGTGAGTATTGATCAACCCTCAGGGATCCCGCTTGCTTGCTCTATATTGCACCCGGGATGCGTCGGCTATTTTGGCCCGTGATGTTGGTGGTGTCGATGTTTGTTCTGATGTTTTTGGTGTTACCCGAGCCCCCCCTCCCGGTCTTGTGCGAGGTCCAGATGCCACCAGTTCGTCGTGTCACAATATAGTTATTTGCCGGCGGATGCGTGCATGGACATGTTACTCTTTATGTACTTTTGTTGCTAACATGTTCTTGGTGGTTGACTTGTAGTATATTTCCATCGCGTGGTAAGTTCTTCATCCCCAACATACCCCACGCAGATTGGGACTGACGCAGAATGTGCATAGCAATGAGTGCAAGAGAAGAAAAATCAAGTGCAATGGCGAGACGCCTTGTCAACGATGTGGAAACCTCAATCTGGCGTGCTTATACGCCCCCAACTGCTGCTCAAACAGCTTCAAAGACTCGGATGAGTTTAGGAGCGTCACGAGTCAGCTCAGCCGCCTCCAAGAGGAAGTCAACTGGCTGAATCAGACGATCAAGACTCTTTTACAGACAGAGTCAACTCGTCTTGTGGCGCCCTCAACCGATCGCATCCTGAACGGCGGACCCGGCTCGACTCTTGCGCCCTCTCCCGCACAAAGCTCCACGTCCATGGCCAGACCAGACTTGTCACACGCCAAAGTAGGGGCTTTCCAGGGTCCTACCAGCATGGCGTACAGTCTAGATATTGCAAACACGACCATCGCCAACATGGGATATCGTGGTATCGATGAGACTTCCGATCAAGATCAGCAAGGAAGCGATGTCACCATGCAGATTGCTGCCAGCAATACTGGTCACGACCCTCTGTTAGAATTCGACAAGGATGAGATGGTTCGGCTGTGTCGACTGCATGAAGAAGAGGTCGGTATAATGTACCCGGTCCTCAACATCCAGAGCGTCACCGCTCACGCCAAGAACATCGCACCATTATTAGACTCTATGCGTGGCCAACAACAGCCCACGGAACTCATCAATGACGAGCAGACATTACAACTCAAAATGGTCATCTGCTGTGCGCTGGTTACCGAGTCCCATGGCCACAGCGACAAGGCTGTCCGACTGTATGAGAGTATGGAGGGGGTTGTCAACAAAAAGTTGATGTCTGATCCTAGTGATGTGGCCAACTTGCCGCTTCTTTGCCTGCTTGCCGGGTATAGGTTTCTTTCTTACGACGAGGTTCTGGCATGGAGAGTCATTGGGCAGGTTGTACGGCTCTGCCTTGAAGCCGGTATTCATCAGAGCAGGGGGTTGATGAGGATCCAGGACGACACCGAGAGACGGAATGCACTCAACAGCTTTTGGTCGGCATATGTTCTCGACAGACGATGGGCATTTGGCACCGGGCTACCCTATTCGGTGCAGGACGATGAAATTGATCCCAGGCTACCGCTCCCCGTATGTGGAAATACAAAAAGGAAGAGAAGCACGGGCCGTATATCACTAACTGTGTCTAGGAGGAGTACCCGTTTCTTGTTGCCATGATTACCTACTCTCGTCTTGGTGCCAAGGTCTGGCGCCAAGTGTCGCATTTCGGGCCGACATTGGCTCGCGAACCACGCCAAGAAGAGATTGATAATCTTGATCGAGAGATACTCCAGTGGTATGAGAGTGTACCCGATGAAGTCAAGGTGCAAAACTGGGACAAAGAAAAACAAATAACATCGACACCCTCGTACAATCTGCAGCGTCTCAAGATCTTCACATATCTGAGACTTAATCAGGTCCGTCCATCGACGTGGTTTTTTCCCTCCCCATGACAGAGTACTAACTGGTGGCAGATTCGCATCTGGCTATATACTCCTATTCTACACAGCGCCACAAGTATCATGCAACACCCGGGTCAAGCACAGCGCGTTGTCGACCTTGCCAAGGACACCATACAGTATTTGAACCATTTGAACAACACCACGAACTTGTACCGACGATCACAAACCTTTTACCATCAATTTCTCGCCTCTGCCATTTCCGTGGTGTTTCTCGCGTCGGTACATGCCCCCGTCCGATTCAGCGCCGTCTGCAGGGAGGAATTTTATCTGGCGCTGGACTTGGTCAAGGACCTGTCGGCCAAGAGCTGGGTTTCCAAGCGTCTCTGGCGCACCATCAAGTCACTCAAGGATGTGGCACCGCGATTCGGCCTGAACCCCGATGACGACGCGCATTCTAACGCTGCGCTTGGAATGATTGGGCTAGCCAGGGGCCATTTGGAAAGCACGCCCATGACGCAGTCTCCCTTCCCCAACATACCTATTCCGCAGAGCCACCAGGCGCCGGAGCAGCCCGTAGAACAAAACGGCAAGAGGATTCAAAGTGAGCTGTCGCGAATATTCGAGGGCTACGTCGGCCTGAATGGCTTTCAGTTCGCAGACGAACAAGTTCCCCCACATAACGACCTTGGCACATCCGACTCTGTCGGGGGCATGTTTACGCCTGATGGAACTGTGTTTCCCCATTTGAGGGAGATGTTTTAAATGACGACATGGTATGTATCGGGGGCTATGTGTACAAGGGCAGGCTAGTGAAAGGTAACGCTGTGCCAAATTCTGTTTTACCTGATGACGCTTTTGTCAAGGCCATTCGCTGTACGATGACTGAAATGACATACAAACCACCATGTAACGTGCCGCCATCTATTGAAATTGGGAGGGCAATACAAGTCAACGAGATGCCACCGCTGTGCCTGACACTACCATTGCTCTCGCCGGACGGGTGTAGGCGGCCGCGGTCCCGTGGATGGATTCGGAACACGGGGCTCGGGACTTTAGCCTCCGTGATGCCTGGCGCTGGCAGCATCTTGTGCCCCGGTGTTTCTCACCAGGACGATGGATGCTGTGTGGTCCGTGGGCTATTCAGCCGTCTTGCTGGATAGCCCGACCGTGGGTCTGGCAAGCTGAATGGCTGTCGATCTGACACCGGGCTGGCTGTCCCCTTCAAGCTCCCATCCCGGCATCTCCCTTACACAAGGGCGATGCGGCTCCGTTGGCGCCCCGCGACATGTTTCCCGATACGGAAGTCGGCCTTACACCGAGGCCGCGTCCCATTTTCGCCGTGTGCATCGACACGACTGGCCCTGCGAAAACCACTCGGCTGACTGCATGACGAGCTTACTGCCTCCTTTGTCGGATGTACTCACAGCGCGCGGTATCTACATCATTGGAAACAAGGATCGCATTGCCGGAACTAACCGGCTATGGCCGGCGGCGCGGTCATGTCCACCCCAGCACGAGTACAAGATGCGCTGCCAATCTTCAAGGTGGTTTACCCAACAGCGCCTGTTTGATAGGATTACATGATGCGAAGTGTACATTCAGAAATGAGCCGTTAGATTCCTATTCTACCAGTCATGTGCAAATCGAGTGTTGCTCTGAACTGAGCAACGAGGCACGTCTACGACAAACACCACTAATGGAAAATTGCCATGGTTCGATATCTCTTGAAAATATCAAAAAAAGATGGGCTAGAAGCATCTTATCAAAATATCAATTTGTCATATTCAGATTGAGACATTCTTCCATGAATGGCACACGATTCGCTGGCGTCATTGCGCCAATGGATCGGTGGCGGAAAGTCATCTGCAGAACTTGCAGCATCACAATTCACAATTAGGGCTTACTCACTTGGACCAGCGTCTAGTCCGTGGCTTGCCTACCACATTTGAGCGGTACATTGCACTGGGCGCTCTATCATGAAGAACCAGCGCTTTACTCTGATGAACAATGCCTTGGTGCCAATTCCATCGCTCATCATTAACGTTATTAAGAAATATATGTGTCGAACAATGTAATCTAATAGAGACCCTCGCTGTTCGCTAACCGTGACCATGAGAAGCCGTCCGGCCCAAGACCATAAAGCTCATTTCGTTGCCAATCGTAACCATCTAAATTGTCGTCAGCTCAGTCTCAAGTTGCGCACGGGACGAAATAGAATGGAACTCACACCAGTTGTGAAGACGCATGTCGCCAATGGGTATATGAATCCAGTATCCTTCTCTACTCCGCGAAGAAGATAGACCTGCCTCGGAATCTTCCCATGAAATGCTCCTCCTAATGGGCATCATTCTCCAGCACCTCAGTCCTTCAATGTCCGCCCTCTGCATCCTGGTCGCTTCCTTGCCCTGGCTTTCCAAAAGAGACAGATCTATCAGTTCGTACCAATCCCATTTCGCACAAGATACCGTTACTTCCGCCGTCGACGGCGCAATTCTGTTGATTAATTCGTCCATTTGCGGTAAAAAGAAGTTGTGTAACCTCTCGGATAGTAGTCGTCTGTTGTCATATGGCCAAATCATGTCGGTGGTGTGGTCTACCTCGTGGATGACCATCCGGGCAAACGCAATCCGCAAGTATGCAAGAGACGGGAAAACTGGGCGCCGATATTTGGAATGCTTCACCTTTGAACAAAAGCCTTCTACTAGAGGAAGATCTTTTGGTTGCCAGACCAGCTCTAGAGATCGAATGGTGGCCAATATATGACTCGGAAACAGATCCGACATACTCTTCATTAGAACGGGCGACGCAATGTGGAAAGTGTTGGTGCTATACAAAACATCCATGCCCTCGAAATATCTAAGCAAATTTAAGAAAAAATTGGTTAGTGTTGCCAGCATCGTACGGGGTCAATACAGTCATCCCCCTGAAGGCGGCCGGACTCGCAAAACGAACAACGGGCGGGCGGACAGATGAGCAAAACTCACGCTCGCTTGCAAGATAACATCCACCCCATAACGCCAATTTGACACTTCACTGGCCACTTTCCAGGCCACGTATTACACTTTCCTGATCCGCGAAGGCACAGATCCGTATCCGGCTCCCCAAAATGCGCCCATCGATAGTTGCATCTCCTGCCGTAAGCCAACCGTGGTGTGTTATCGACATCGAATCGGTGGCATACACAGCCAAACCACCTCCAAGTCCTATGCCTGCCAGACTTTGTATCCAAGTGTGAGTCTGAGGCCAGGTTTCCTTGGTGAATCCTTGCATGCACGTCACACCCACCGTATGGCTTCTTCTCAACCAAGTTGAATGGGAGTCGGAAATCCAAGTCCATATGTAGCGTGCGTTCTCCAAAAGCTGAAACCAAAATGTGCCTCCGAACCTCGGGCGGCAGGCGGCTGAAGATGGAGCATTTGGCTTTTCCATCGTGTTGCGGGCTCTGGGAGTGGACAGTCCTATATGCTGATATGGGATCTGCCATGGGTCTGCACAACAGCCGCTGCAGCGAGTTCTCTTTGCGTCGACGCTCTCTCTTGTCCGTATTGTGCTCGGACAGCGGGTATGCACGGGACCATGTTGTGCGAACCAAATCACATGCAATGATGACGGCGAATAGCACAATCATCAAGGCCGTCCAGAAGGCAGCCCGTGCTATGTCGGGGAGTGCTTTAAGCAGCCCGCGGCGACGGCATACGTCCCATACGTTGGGCCAATCATGCCACAATTCTCTCCACCAGCGGCCGGCCTCGTCCATCTTGTGCACGAGTCGATCTTGACGATGGTTTTGCAAGATGCTGTCGGTGTGGCGATTTTATATGTGGCATAGCTGCTGGCGTCGTCGTCGGAGAATGGGGAGATGTTCAGGCACAGAAACGACACCCAATATTCAACGTGCTGCGGTGCGGGAAGCCGGCGTGTTGGGCGTGCAGAGGGTGGGATGACGAGAAATGGAGAGGAATCAATGAAATGCCCATATGGTATGGCTCTTGATGAATTTTGCCGTCCGGGTGATGGGGAAAGTCTTTGGGGGGCTGTGTGATCAAAGCCGAACCCCGTCACTGATTCACCACGTCGCTCACCTCTTCGCGCTGGCCGTGTCTCACTTCAGCCGAAAGCAATGTTGCAGTGTCCAGATATAAGCGTTGCCCTGGTTGTCGATGCGATAAGATTCTGATGGTATCTTGGCGAGCCAAGTTGATGGGATGAAACACGGGTCTGGCGATGAAACAAATGGCTCCTGGGCTTGGAAGAATGAACCAGGACGTTTTATACCCGGCAATTGCGCCCAGAGCAAGAACGATGCAGTGCCTGCCGACACTGCCTAATCAGGTAGGTAAATAGGTGAGCACCTGGATAAAGTCATGTATCAAGTTTTTTTTTAGGTTTTTTTTAGGTTTTACCTAGTTTAATTATTTTTATCTTTTTTTTTTTTTCCTAATGTAAATGATAATGTAAGCACTACATCAACAAGCCATACCTAAGCCAAAAAGCCGCAATGACCACGTAATACACCATAAGGACACGCATCATACATAATACGTTAAGCACTAATAAGATTGGTGATTCATCGTGGCGCGCCGTCCAAGTCTATGTCGCGATAGCCTCAGCTATTAATTACGTGAATTTAAAATATAGGTTATGCTAGTGACAACTTAAAATGGCCGCACAACCTATATCAACGAGGTCTGCGCTCGTCGGCATCCCACGAGTCCTTTTCTCTCTCTGAAAAAGTCATGTATCTACTTGGATGTATGGACTTGGCCACTGGGCACTCCGTACATGTGTGTGCCACGTGGGCAGCACATACAGGGACCAGACTGGACTCGAGTACGAATACTTGGGTACTTGGCCAAGTATTTGGGGATCCAGGGACGGTACTGGGACGTGGTCGTGGGCTTCTCGTGCCGGCCGCAGCACGCGCGTGGCTGAGAACAACTGAGCTGATAGAGGGGTTTGACCGGCATCAAACGGGGCCGTTTATCGTATTGGAGTCTCGGTCTTTTCCGTCTTCAGTGGCCGTCAGCAAATGTGCCAATCGGGAAGTGGCAGTGTTTCAATGCGAGCCCAAACCATGCCGTTGATATTCGCAAACAGATGCCGGACACCACGGCAAGTGTTCATGTACCTAGGTAGATAGATACTTGGCACTCAGAGTATGGCTTGACTTGCGTGAGTCCACGGTAACTTACATTGTAGAGCATATACACATATTGGCTCTACTTTCAACTCTTTCCGGCTTGTAGCATATTTGCAAAGTCAGTAGCATCCGGGAAAAGCAAACATCAACCAACACTCCCCAAGACTCATCTGATTGTTGAGCAGTCGTTAGCAGCAACGGTTTGGAGTCTTTTTCTCCTCTTTTGGCAAGAAGACGCCTCTCGAGCAGGTCGACTTATCGACAAGGTATTCAGGTTTCCTCACCGCAGTATTACCTGGATGGGCAATCCGAGAAACTTGCACCAACCAGCCGACACCCTGTGGCAAAGGAATCGCTTGGAACAAGGTAAGCTGAATGGCTGTCATTGTACTCGAGCTAGTATTTGTCACGATGTCTACGCATCTGTACGAGTGTTGTCAGAGCGGCTCTGTTTGCGTCGGGCACGGGCCGCATGCTGGATTGTTGAAAGCAGTATTCATGTTGGTTGATCTCACAAGGTCACGAGCTTCGAACATGCACGATATTTGAAAAAAACGGGGGGGAATAAGCACCATCGATTTGTCACCTTTTTTTGGGAAGTGGACATGCTCTATCTGGGACGTTGTGGCCTATTATATGGGGTCACGCTGACTAGAATCATGATGCTACATACAGTCTACATTCTCCAGTGTCTACAGACTACATCCAGACACGAACAAAGGTAAAAGGTGATCCGTGCTGAGTATTGGTCCACGCATTCAAGCCCGGTCCAAATCCTTCAGTATTGATACAATGCCCAACTCAAACCCTCCAAGCGGCCGGCATCGAGCTGACATTGGCCGCAGCTGAGGAGCAGCGGCAGCAAAAAGCGGCACCAGGGGTGACATCGCCAGCCGCCTCACATGTTGCACCAGGCAAAGCACCAACTACAATATTAGAAATGAAATGAGGACGTCCAGACAGAACCCTGCATCATGTATTTTTGGCTAGCGTCATTAGGAGGGGCGCCGGCAAATATGCAAAGGTGTGGACGTCAAGGCACTATGCACACCTCTAAACTTGCCAGGTTTGTATTCTCAAACGATTTTTTGGAATGCGATAGATACCCAAGCAAAAAAAAAAAAGGAATACTATGGACATATATTTTCGACCAGTTCCTGGGGTGGTGCGGTGATGACGTCGCCAGCCACCGTAGCATTGCAGTAGTTCATTTTCATTATGCAGGTCTGCGTATTGGACCAACGCAAAAATAAATTTGGCCATTGTCAGACTTTTTCGGCAATCGCGTACTTATCTTGCTTTTCATCTGTAAAAACAATTGTAGTGTAAAGTGATGACTCTCTAGCTTAGCCTTTCTTCCGATAGCAAGCTATCAGTACTTGCAAAGAAAACGCGTTTACCGTGCTGGTCGTATACTGCGGTGTGTTTTTTGTTCCAATAATGCCAAATAACGTCATAGAATAGATCCCTTGCTAGCATCCGCTCGCTGGATGAGAAATTGACAGGTCCCTTGGAGAGATGACCTGGTGATGATGGCGCGACGATGCCATGCCGCGCAAGACAGGGCTAGCTTGTCGTGAGAGATAGAAAGCAAGATAAAGATGGCAGTTTCTGGTGAGGTTGGAGGCATCAGATAGGATATCTGAAAGCTCCAGTCAATCCGTGCGCTATTACGGCTAATTTAGGCAGACCATGGCAGTAATAGGGTCCTTGCTACTACGCGACATCACTCGTCAACTTCGGTCCGTTATGAATTCGAGACAAAAAGAATGTACAGGATTGAACATGTTCTTTCTGCGCGGATGTAGTTGAGCTTGATGTAAGCATACCATTTCTTCTCAAAATAATGCAAGTCTTTGAGAACTAAACGCAGTAATTGGAAACCTCCCAGTCGGAAGTCTGACGCATTGTCTCATGCTACGACCGGGCTTTTATACAGCGTGGTAAAGTCAAACTCGATACTGCTAACTTTCTACGTTGGGTGTTAGGCTGTCTGATCATATCCCTTGGAAGAAAAACCATCTTGGCGAGGAATACGTACCAGTAGAAACTTCTTCGTCTCGTCCGCGTTGCCTTCCATGCCTTTCAGCAATGCTAGAAATGGGTCCGTCTCAAGAGCAGTGTCTGCGTTTGTCTTGGAGATCCGGTTCAAGTTTTTCCTAGATCGCCGGTCAATGAACTTTAGGAACTTCTCTCGGCGGATTTCCGCGTACGCGTCAAGAATGTCCTCATCGGCTTTGCCCTCATAGTATCCGATGAGACAGTCCGCGAGGCCCGCCACATCCAAAACGGCAGCCATACAGCCGTATCCGCCAAAGGGATTGCAGACATGAGCAGCATCGCCGGCGAGGAAAACTCGGCCGACGCGCATCTTTTCTACGCATCGATTGTGGATGCGGAATTGGTCTGTCTGCGTCACCTTGTACTGACTTGGGTCCGGATGTCCAGGAAGCATCTTCTTGAATGCGAGTTCCCGGCGCTTCAGATATTCTTCTGCCGACAGATCGGCGGCCGAATCACCATATGTAACTCGCCAGAGTTCACCCTCTGGCCCTTTGGCTTTGCCTCGTTTCGCAATAAGACCCCAGAATTCGTCGTCTATCATGTAGTTGCCACCATTCCAACCACTGTCTGCAAACCCTTTGTAATATACCTAGAGAGAGGGGTCAGTTTATTTCGCTTGAGTCTGACTAAAGCAGAGACAGTCTCTTTTCTTCTTTTTTTTTATTTTTATTAACAATATAGTTGATTAATTAGCAAGTGACTTACATTTTGAACAAGCAGGCGACTCTCAAACGTTTCACCAGGCCAATTCCTCTGGAAAAGTGTTTTTCGAACGGTGCTCTGGCCGCCATCACACCCAATAATGTAAGATGCCTCAAATGTGACGGTGCGTTTGACTTCATCTTCACCGCCAACCTCGACTACCGCTGTTGCTGACCTTGAGTCCTGATTGATGTTAATAACCTTGTGGTTAAAAAGCAACGTAATATAATCAGAATATTTTTCTCGGCAGTGTCGCAACATGATTTGCAAAATCTCATTCAGTGGTAGTATCGTCGTCCGGTCTTTATCGGCTTTGAGCACGGACAGGTCTATTCCGGTAAGAACTTGGCCAGTCCGGACACTACGCCAGCAGATGTACGGGAAGTGCGTGATGCTTTCTGACCGGATATCATCAAGGATACCTGCTCGTCGAAATACCCTCGTCGCCGGAACGCCGTATTGTGTTGCACGCAATCTCTCATCTACACGGTCCCATGATTCTAGTACAGTCGACGGGATATGGCTTCGAGCGAGAAGTATAGCGAGTAACAGACCCGCCGGACCGGCTCCCACGATCAAGACCTGTTGTCATCAGTTGATGGGAGCTAGACCACACGCGTCATCGGCCTGTATTTTCCAACCTTTTCAAAGGGCTTGGTGCTCTTTGGAGATGTTCCATTCGGCAATCTAGCGTTTTCTGTGCTCGACATCGTCTTCATCTGAATCCGCTCTGTCTTGATAGACTTGAAAGAGATGATGTCTCTTTAGAAGAGATTCTCTGGGAGACTTCAGATAGCCGGCTTTCAAAGCGTCGAGAACCCGTCATCTAACTTTGCATCTAGCACGTTGCACAGCAGAGAGGCACAGGGGTTTTATACATATTTCTCTGGGAGGGTGTCAATGTAAGCCTTTAATATTGTACGCGGCTCCGTATCCTCTTGAATACTACTCTATTCATCACTCCCCCACCTAATCCCCAGCCTACCTCTATTGTTTCTGAATGAGGGGTAAGGAGGACGTAAAATTCGGTAACGAATAAAATACTGTTCAATGAAGTCGTTCCAATTTCCTTCCGAGTTCCGCAAATATCGTCGGTGCTTTGTAATTGAGGGTCATGTGTGAAATAGACGGAAGTGTTCCGGCCCAAAGCCGTCACTTGCCGCCAGGTATGCTTGTCAAAAACAAGAAGAAAAAGAAAAGGTGTGATTGTGCCATTGTCCAAAATCGACCAACCGCCATTGCATGTTGATATGAAATTGTTCTTGGCTGTGGAGACCAATCCTGATCATGTTCCGCCATGGATCAAACCGAGCCTCGACCAGTTAGCAGGCACACCAGTGACGAGATTGAAGGTACGGTGCTATGCGCTATCGGGAGTGAAGCCAAGATTGATGCGTAAGAGACAAAGCAATATAGTAGTAAGCTGCTCTGCCTGTTGCTTGTCAACCCGAGTGCGAGACAACTGCGGCAGAAACCGTCGAACGCATCTTCCTCAAAGCATGGCCCAGCCATCGTTTGTCGGCATCGAGTCGGTGACCAGAGTCAAAGTCGAACTCCCTCCAAGGGTGCTGCAGTTTGTTGGTCCCGATTTGACTCGTGTGCAGTCCACGCAGCCACTTTAGTTCCCCGCGGGAAGCTGCACGAATTTTGCCTCGCCGTCCAAAAAAGCATTGTCCGCAGGGCCTTCCGTGCAAGTAAGCATATCGAAAGTTGCCCGCCCCGCCTGACGGATAGAGCGGGTACTTTGTCTCTCTTCACTCTCCACTAGCGCCCAAAGCTCTGCTCCGTAGAACTTTAGCCGCCAGCCAAGTAGTTAGTATTTCTGCCCGTTCAACAAATCGACCGCAATTTCAGCTCCGGTTCACAACCAGGCAGCATCCGACTTTGCGCACGACTGCAACGGGCCTAGGGAAGGCATGGCTCCAGAATTGTTGTCCACAAAAGGCGACAAAGGATCCAAGGCTCTTGCAGCGGATGAAAACGGCTACGTCCGTCTGCACATCACGCCTCTGGACCAGGAGCTTGTGAAGATTGTCATCCCAGCCTCTGTGCTCCCCAGTGCGCGCAACATCTCCTTCCACACGCTTGAAACATTCCCCGAGAAGCGATACGGGTTTGTCGACCTGCCTCAAATGGAGGCCGAGAAGCTGAAAAAGAAGCTCAATGGCGCCACGTTGAAGGGCTCCAAGATGCGGATTGAAAAAGCTCGGCCAGAGGAACGAGTCGAACCCACGGGCGATGCGGACACTGAGATTAGGAGCAAGAAGAGAAAGTCCAAAGACGAATCTGAGAGCTCAAAAAAACGAAAGCGAGATCACAATGTGGTGGAAGGAGTTGTGCTCGAGGATCGAAAGGTCAAGCGAGGCTGGACGGAGTCCGCTGATACAAAACGGAAGAACAAGAAGGGCAAGGATAAATCTAACAAGGACAAGGACCAGGAGAAGAGAAGAAGGCAAAAATCCAAGTACACCGACCAGGATGAGTGTCTCCTCAAGACAAAGCTGCCACCGAATGCGGTTAGCAAGTTGCCTGCCGCAGACGCCTACAAGAAGAAAAAGAAGAAGGGAAACCTTCGAGAGGTCACGGTCCACGAATTTGAAAAGACCACCAAATTCCCCAGTTTCTTGAAGAACACGGCGCCTGAAACAAATGGTAAGCCGGCAACAGAATTCGTGGAAGGCAAAGGCTGGGTTGACGAGGATGGGAATGTTGTGGAGGCCGTGAAGCAGAAAAAGCTGCCAGTGACGACGCCGAAGCGCAAGGCGTCTTTTAAAAGGGAGACTGTCGCACAGGAGGAATCGGATGATGACAGCACCAGCAGCAGCGGAACATCGTCAGAGGAAGAGGAGGAGGACTCCGACTCGGATGAATCCGAAGCGGTTAATGCCACAAAAGTTGAGACTGGAGAGAAGGACAGTGAAAGTAGTTCAGAAGGAGACGACACATCCAGCGACGACTCCTCGAGCGAAGAGGAAGAAGGCGCAGCATCGTTTCCAACCAACAAAGCCGACAGCACGAGGCCCATGTCATCCAGCTCCTCCAGAAGCCTCAAGATCAAAATCCCACCGCCACCCACTACCCCATCGGCTAGCAAAGTCCACCCCCTCGAAGCGCTCTACAAACGGGCCAAGCCTTCCGAAACAACAGCAAATCAAACGCCGACGCAGGAATCCCAGCCATTCAGCTTCTTTGGCGAAGGCGACGCCGATGACGATGACATTGAAGACGAACCCGCGGCGCCCTCCATACCCATGACCCCATACAGCCGACAAGACTTTGAATGGCGAAACGTCCGAAGCGCTGCGCCAACTCCGGACACCGCACACCCCAGTCGCATGAAGAACTTTTGGGCGTCACAAGGAGACGACGCCGACATGGACGATGCCGCTGAAGAAGAGGAGGAGGAGGAGGAGGAGGCAGACGATGGTGAAGAAGGCGCCCCGGCCCAGGCACAAGCGGGGTCGAGTGATTTCCAGACATGGTTCTGGGAAAATAGGAGGGACCTGAACAAGTCGTGGATGAATAGAAGGAAGAGCGCGGCAAAGGAGAAGAGACATAGAGAGAACAAAGCGAGGGCTTCCAAGGCGGTTTAGCGTCTTGATGGAGTTGTGGAATTTCTTGAGTATATACGGTACTTGATATAGAAGGACTTCTTAGACTTGGGTGTGTTTGATTATTATCTCTCCGCTACTATGTGGCGGTGCGCCCTTGACTTTAATGAGGTTGATATTTGAAGAACAGTGCTTGGCTTCTCACATGGGTGTTCTCTAATAATAGAGTTAGAAAACCTATTCTCGGGTCCATGATTTCTGTGTCCGTGGTGCAAGTAAACCTGGGGAATCAAGCAATCTGAGCCACCACGGACGTCTTCTATATCAAATATGGAGTCTTGTAGGGATTCGGAAGAAGTATATTAGGTACTAGGGCACTACTTTGGCTGCTTCTGCCTAGTTTCAAATAGCTGGCACTCTGCTACTGCCCTTGGTATGGTCCATGTCGTTTTCGCATACGTGCGGCCGATTATCTTCTGAGCAGGTGTCATGTCGTTTTCTCCCGACGACCATTTTACTCCCCGTCAGTGCTTCATATATCCCCAGGCTGTCTGCCGTTGGCGGCTTCAAAGTGCGTTCCTTCACAATGCTGTCTCTGGATCGAACGTTGGCATCCGTCCTAGCTTCCGGTGAAAGCGATTTTCTGCGCTCAGCAGACCAAACGTTCTTATCTGGTCGTGGATATGCCTGATGGTTAAGATCGTACTGGGTGTTTCGCCGAAGCTTTTCAAGTATTCGAGGGATGAAACCCTCCTGACTGTCCCAAGGCGAATCATAGGAAAGGGGAACCTGAGAACTGCGACGTTGATAGGCAGACGAGCTAATAGAGCTTCCTTGGCGAATTTTGCCAGTAGAAGTCGAGCCATTGGTTGCTCGACGCTCGTGAAGGTAAAGATTAGTGCAATAGAAAGGATCTTTGTCGAAAATACTGTGGTCACACGGTATGGCTATGGGCTGGGGAGCTTGCCAAGCACCTTCTGGAGACGCGGGAGCCCTGCCACTGTGTGCATCGACACCTCGATGGTATAAGTCAGATGTCGGGGCTCGAGTAAGTTGTTCGATCTCAGCGGGTGGGTGGGGCCAATCGTTTGTGCAGTGACGTGGTCGCAGCTCGGGGAACGAGGTCATGTTTGACTCCTCGTCCGTCGATCGAGATATTCGCTTGTGAAAAGTGAGGTTCGATGACAGTGATTCCAATGGGTTTATAAGGTACCTTGCTGTCGTTTCTTCGGGGGTCAGAGTACCTTGATATTGACTAGACTTGAATATAGGCTGCCTTTGTATGCGTTTATGAGTTGAAGATTTGTTGGATGTCTTTGCAGACGACCTGGAACGCGATGGCCTGTCAGCGCCAGACGATATATTTTCTGCCCACACTATCTCGGATACGCTCCCACGAGACAATATAGTAGTTGTTGTTGACAAGTCATCTTTCAAATAACCCGCAGATAGTTCTGTGCTATCCCAATTCGTGTGGGCGAAGAACGTCTTTGGCACACTAATGGTGGTTGCGGGTTCAGCGACGGCAGAGAGGCGCGGGGTGATGGAATTTCTGTTGCTATCGAATTCTGGAAGCATGGGACCGCTCTGACCTGGATTTCGATCTGAAATAGTCTCATGTTTGATGCTGTCTTGGTATGCTGCCTCCTGTTGAAACGTATGGAGGACTATCTTCACAACTTCTCTGATGTCGGTTTTGTTGACAAAGTAAAGATGATTTCCATCGTCGACTTGAATCTCTGATTCACCGCCAAGCGTTACGGATGCGTGATGAAGCCGTCTAGGTTTTAGATGGTCCTGGATTTTGGTTTCCGCTTGCTTCACGACGTTTTGGTAGCGGACACAGTCGCCAAATGCAGATGAACCGGACGCCTGGTAGATTAACGAGCCTGATGGACCATACTGGGGGACTTTTTGATCACCTGAAGCTCCATGATAGATATTCGAACAGTGATTGTGATAGTCTCGCGGGCCATTATCTTTGCTAGGCCCCATTGCTTTGTTTTGCTTGGAATTCGTCTGCTGGAATGCCGCGAAGGGCAAATAGCCTTTTAGGTTCTGCGTGAATCAAGATCGTCTCGGCCGGATCTTAACGTCAAGCGATCGAGTAAACTCCATAGGTACAAGAATTTATTTTGTGGTGGGATATATTTTGATCTCGTTGGAGAACCGTTGTCTCAAGACATGATCTGGCACGACGGCAACGTGCCACCTCCGCTCCTTCCAGCTCTTGATCGTTGCACACAAAGGGAGGGAACAGCTTTCAGCCTCGGAAGACTACTTGAGTACCTAGGTAGTTTATGCATGCGCATTGTTCACATGAAAGTTTGACCTATGCGAGTATTGTTCTAGACATTGTCTGGCGCCGTTTACGCTAGTCGAATACGACCTTTGAACCAGCGAACGCTATCGCCTTTTGTGACTCTTTTGCCTTTCTTCTCGCCTCCCAGCTTGGATGCAATTTCCCTTCGTCATCTCTTTTTGCAACGGGCGCAGGCGCACTATCACCTCTTATGCCGTTCCTTGCAACAGGGTTTTGTATCCCTTTCTTCCAAGGCGTCCTTCGGCCCTGATCCTCAGCATCAACAGCACCCCGACGCATGTCCCAACCAGAGTCTCGGCCACTTTTCTTCTGTGGCTTCTGTAAATGTTTAGCTCCAGAGCCATATTTCTGCTCCCAAATAGCCTGGCGCGCACGTTGTCCACGGCGATTCTTTGGTTTAGCTTCTTCAATGTCGGAAGCAGACTCAGACCCTGAAATATAGCCACCCATGAGCGATGGAAGGAATGTTGAATCCCTGACGGGGCCCGTCTTAGCGGACGCCTTTTTATCCTTCTTCTGCTTTTTCTCAGGAGGAGGAGACAGAGATTGAGACGAGGCCTGCGATGCAGATTCCGCTTCAGACTCTTCCCCAGAGCCAGATCCCGAAATATCATCCAAGTTGACCGTTTCCCTGCCTCGAAACTGGGCATACTTGTCGCTATTCCAATCGTCCTCTTCATCAGATGAGCTTCCAAGCAAGCCATCAAGCCTATCAAACTCAGTCACCTCCTTCGCCTCAGCATCGCTGTCAAGTTCCTGTTCCTCAACCACTGAGCCAGGATCGTCCACATCCGTACTAAACCCCTCGAATTCGGACTCTTCATCCAACTCATCCGCCGGGTTTTCACTAGAGACCGCAGATTTGGTTTCGTCGTGCAGCTTCTCCGCCCGAGCCGAAGGCTGCTCCTCCCGGCCTTCCCCTTCCTTTTTGTTTTTGCGTATCCGCTTGTCGTTCTCAGGAACAGGAACATTTAACACACTGCAGACAGCCTTGACGGCTCGGCCCACGGCCTGCTTCACCGGTTCACGATTATAAAGCCCGCTCGTGACATTATGGAGCGCTGCTTGTTCATCTTCTGGTAAGTCGGGCTTCGATACTCCTCGCCGGAGCTCTTCAGGAAGGTCTGGTGAAGAGGCGATAGACTTGATCTTGAGAAGCGACAAATGCAGGTGCGCGCGAGCGGTTTGATGTAGATCGAGAGACTAGCCGCACATGAGCATTAGTTCTATAATATGGCACTTTAGGAGCTTCTCCAGGCACTCACCTTGAGAACTACAATTTCTCTTTCTAGACGATGGACCTTGTCCTGTGTGATGCCCGGGTCTCGCAGTCTCTTGCTAAGCCGTTGCCTCTCAAAGCCCTTTGACGCCTTCAAGGCTCTGAACACTTCATCCTGGTACTTGCCAAGTACATCATGTAAGCTCGTTTGGCCGCTGCGCTTTCGTTTCGGCATGTCGTCAATTAAACCGCCTGTTATGCAACATTCACCATGAACTAGCACCACTACGGAAGCGCGAACAAAAAAAATTATGGTGTGGATAAAATACAGACACTGTGACTGGGCCTTGTGTTATCGGCGCTATCGTCTTAAAATACAGTGCGAGTATTGTCGCGCCCTGTGACATCATGGCGACATAGCTAAGCGGAATTCAGCGGAATTCTTTAGTTCCGTACTATTAATAATTACCATTGCCGGGGGCGGGGGATGGGGATATTCATTCAAGAAACGCCCATATTTTGCGGCATTCACCGTACAAAATATCAAAACTTCACTTCTAAGCGAGGTAGAGTCGCTTTGCTTCAGCCAGACAGCCGACATGTCTTCCCAACCTGATAACGCGTCCCTTTCAGCCCTAGACTTGTTCAGCGTGGACGGTCTCGTTGCATTTATCACCGGAGCTGGGACAGGTGAGGCACGGGCCTGTCAATACTTGAATTTTAAAACATGAACTTGGCAGTCTAACTGCGGTATCACAGGTATCGGGCTTATGTTTGCCAAGGCACTGGTCAAGAATGGTGCTGCCAAGGTATATGTTGCAGGTAGACGGCTAGAGGTTCTTGAAAAGGCCGCTTCATCCGTTGGACCAAATGTAATTCCCGTACAATGCGATGTTACATCCAAGGAGAGTCTTCGGGAAGCGGTGAAGTTGGTCGAAAAGGACTCGGGATACCTGAACCTTCTGATTTGCAACTCTGGCATTACCGGTCCATCAGCTCCGGCCGTGACTTCTGAAACGACTCTGGAGGAGTGGGCAGACGGCAACTTTTCTCGGGACGTAAACGAGTACGTCGATACGTTCGCCGTCAACACGGTTGCAGTATGGTACACCACCATGGCGTTCTTGAAGCTGCTTGGCCAGGGGAACGAGAAGAAGAATGTCACACAACAGTCCCAGGTAGTCATTACCAGCTCGATTGCCGGTTTCAACAAGACTTCCACTGCCGGTTGGGCTTATGGACAGTCAAAGACGGCGGCGATCCTGGCATCGAAACAGCTTGCTACGGCTTTGCCCCGATGGAACATACGGTGAGTCTTTGATGCTCGGCGACTGCCGTTATTTCGTTCGATTTTTTTTTCCTGACGTATTCCTCGTATTTGATGTGAAGGGCAAATTGTATTGCCCCTGGAAGTAAGTGTTCCCGGCCATGAATATGGACCTCCGACTGGGTTCGCTCGGATATCGAGACTGACTAGTTTCGTCTAGTATTCCCGAGTGAAATGACGGAGTTCGCCATCCAACAATACAGGGGTGAAGCAGGAGGATACGGCGTAGTTCCGACCACAATGATTCCCTTGGGAAGGCTTGGCGAAGAGGCAGACATGGCTGGAACTATCCTGTATCTGGCATCAAAAGCGGGCTCATACTGCAATGGCGTCGTCGTAGTCCTGGACGGAGGACGTCTGAACACGTTTCCATCGATCAATTAGAGGGACTGTATGTATGATGTCTCTTTGGAAATTTTGTACCTCTTATCTGCGCTTAATTATCCACTAGGCAATATGGCAAGGGATATCGCGGATGCAGAGTTGGGGCCTACAAGGATGCGAAGCAGCAGGGCCCGCAACTAAGGCCAAGGGGTTGGGCAAAGGACAATGTCGAGTTGAGTAAAACATGGTCTCTTATTGAACAAAACGAACACCATCACATCCTTGTACCAACACACGTGGGTCCGGAGGCGAGTGTTGTGATGTTGAAGCCGTCGGAGATTCGACAAGGCTGGATCGGCCACCGGCGGCATTGGCGCTGTTAAGCCGCAGCCCAACACCCTGAAGAGGCGGCTGATGATGTGTGAGCTGTGATATTACTCGATTGCAAGTACGATATGCTTTTTGCGCATGGCCATAGATCCACAGACGTAGTTGAAGCGATTGTCAAGGAAGCAAGGCGTCGGGAGCGCACAGTCAACTTGGACTCCGAACTCGGGACAGGAATACAACGTGGCATTTCTGTAGCCCAGTCATATTACTGCAATTACAAAATTACCATGGGAAATTTGGTGGTCTGTTGTAGCCCCGTCGACGCGAGGTGCAAAACTTGGGCATGTCGGTTCGGAAGAAGTCGGCCAGGCCACAGCCGACGGACGTCTTGGTGGTGAATCGCTCGGGAATCAGACCGGTCATGATAAGGTTGCTCAAGCAAGGTGTAGCCAAACGCTGCCTCCGCATTCCCGATACAATTTCCGGCGACAGAGACACGGCGTGATTTTGCTTTCCGATGGTTGTTGATTGTCCGTCGTGGGCCGGGCCCTGCGCCTTGCTGTTGATGGAAATGGGCGATTTGACGGGCTAGCTCAACAAAAGAAGTGGGCCTAGAAATCCCAAGAGCCTAGAACCCTAGCAAACCTACCCGTCGATTCCTGGGCAGCTGCTTATTTGTCGCCAACGTCATTGGTGGTTCAGGTCTCAGGTGCTGGCAAAGCTTCTCCCTGTCGGATATCCACCAAGGAGCAGTGTTTCCGGCTCAAAACGCATGAGCATGCGCTGAGGCATGAAATTGGTTCAGTGCGAAATCGGATACCCTTGTGCAGCTTTTTTTTCTAAAGCAAAATAATAATAATAAACGTGTTGGTCATTTTCGAGTAGGGCACAGCGAGAGCCGAGGGTAGTGAAGCGTAAAGGTCCTGAACTGACTGGGTGTTCGAGGTACCCGACGTTCTTGGCATCATCGGACAGATGGATCCACTTCGGCAGCTTCTGACGGGCCCCAGCAAGATTGTCGGAGAGAGACTGGGCGGAGCCACTGGAGCTTCCATCTGCAGCGATGACCCCGCCTCTAGACGCCGGGAGTGCCACTGAACCATGCCGTCGTCAACGCAAATCAAACGCATGCCTGTACAAGAAGCAGTTACAGCGTAATCGACTCACCTGCCAGTCGGCATGGTAGCTGGTCAACATAGCCTGAAGCCAAAGGTCGACGCAGCCGGGGAGATGCGCGGCACGGCCGTGTGAAGCTGGCCATGGACCCGGCTGGGGACACGACGGGATGAGATGATGCAGGCCTGCAACGTTTCCTACTTTGCGCATGCCGTCTGGTGTAGTTACAATGATGGTGATTTCTCAGTACCAGTGTGCCCAATACTCATAACAATTGGCAATAATTTCAGACCAGAGCGTTGCTTTTAAATGCATGGGGCGTAGCGTCTTGATAGTATACGGTATGATAGTCTCTTACACCAAGTTTGATGCCAGCAATTGACTTCAACTGTTGGCTCATCCCCGCCAACGGACCGGGGGATGCCCTTTGAGATTCTACAATTACCGCCAGAAACGAGGGGAAATAGATGTTCAATATTCCACATGCACGCACGCCCCCGTTCTGATTATTACCTGAATCCTTTCTTGGACGGGACCCGGCTACGGGCGATGACGGAGCCAGCAAGTTCGTCCACCTCATGGGTCGTTGGCCCCAACCTATTACATCCTATGTATCAATTGCCAAAATAACGCCTACTCCGTACCTTTCAACGCCGAGTATCAGCATCACTGAGCCAGTGCAGCCATGGCGGCACGACGCTACAGCATTTAAACCCCTCAGTTGGAATTGCAGGTGATACATCTCAGGTTGCCTAGACCGTCTCTGGTCAATCATTAACCTGATGTGTGACTGCAGGCCCAAAACACCTGGATCCGACCTACTTCTGGCAAGGTTCCAACGTCGGTCCAGGTTCGTGGTGGAGGGCGGGCAAATGGATGGAAATCAACTACTCCGTACGCCACAAGCCTCCATCCCATCCCATCCCATCCCACCGTCGATGCCAACAAAGTAAACTTGGGGGGGCGTGGTCCAACAAAACTCTCCGACTCTGTACACAGCTGCGTGTGACGCGTATTGCACCTTGGTCTCGCCGTTTGAATCTATTTATCCCCCTCATCCCCGCCCCTGAAGCTGCATATTCTCCAACCTCCCTTCTCCAAGTGCGATTGCTGTGCTGTTCGGCTTGTTCGGTCTTCTATCGGTGTTCCGTCATCGCATTTGCTTCTGCGCTCGCTTGTGTCCCTCTGCCCCGTGTGCAAGGCGTCAAGTTTCATTCAGGCTGCTGACCCCGGATTCTTTATTGACGTCGTCATTCGTCCAAGTAGGTCGAGCTGCGGCAGCTGTCAGTGTTACTTACACGACGACTCGCGTTCAATAAACATTGACGGCGCCGTACGACTCTTCTGTGGCTGTTGCCGGTGCGATTTCCTCCAAACTTAGGATTGCCCTCTTGAGTCCAAGTCATTTCACCCCCAAAACCAAAAGAAATAAAGAAGAAAATAGAGTCTGTTTAGGCCATTCTCAAGCGCACCAACCCAATTGCCGTTGGCGTCATTACCTTGGTTCTGGGTACTCGGTACATCGCAGGCAGGAGCAACCCCGCAAAACCATTTGCGTGCCGCCTCATCCCTCATTGTCTCTCGACTGCTTTCCCAGGTAAGAAACCTGCGACGACCCCGCCTCGCTTCCCGATAGTGGCTGCTCGCGTGCCCTCGGTTCCGCAGGACTCGACTTTGCTACAAATTCTCGCCTCTTCTCGACTGCTTCGTGTTTTCTGTTGGCATTCTGCTGCCATCTTGACTGCGCTTTGTATAAGTCTCGGCTTTACTCCTTTTCGCTCTGATCCTGGTAAGTCATTCCCCATATCATGGCTCTTCCGGACCCATATCGGCGAGAAACCCCAACACCAGCCAATGTCCGACGGCAAGCGGAGTCACTTCCGGATCCACCATCGCCGGCAGTAATGGAGCTCTTCCGACGGCAGGGAAGTTGGGCAATGCACGCAGACCTCGGTGAAGGGCCTGCTTACTTCTGCAATTGACGACCTTGCCTATCTTTTACTCCAAAAATGGTTGAGCGGTTCTTGTCAATGCAGAGCCGGATGCCGTCGGCATCAAGCGATGTTGTTTTGTGGCGGACTTCAGTCTATCCGCGGCATCACTGCCCCCTCCGTGACAAAAGCTGCTGCTGCAGAGAAATGATGTCCTGGCCTCACTCTTGACGAGCCACCCACCCTTCACATATACAGTGAAATTGCAATCTAACATGCGCGGTTATCGTTGTTAGCTTTTTCGGCTCACGACCCCGTGTCACGTCCCTCGACCTCAGAATTCTTCACATTTCGAAACCCTGGCCGTGACAGCCAGACTTCAAACAGACTCCGAAATGGCTGGCGGCTCACTGAAGCAAGCAGCTGAATCAGCCCGGAACAAGACTACTGAAGTCATGGGTGTAGCTAGGGCCGACGGAGCGGCTGTCGCTCACGATCTTCTGCACACCCCGTGGATGAGGGCAGCTCTTCCCTTCATCAATGGTGGCCTCAGTGGCATGGTCGCTACCACTGTCATCCAACCAGTGGACATGATCAAAGTCAGAATTCAACTTGCTGGCGAAGGCACTTCGGGCGGCCCCAAGCCCACTCCTATCGCGGTTGCTCGACAGATTGTTGCTAGTGGCAGGGTCCTTGACCTTTACACTGGTCTGTCTGCGGGTCTCCTGCGACAAGCGGTGTATACGACTGCCCGCTTGGGATTCTTCGACACTTTTATGGGTTCCCTGACGACTAGAGCCAAGAGCCAGGGTCGTGATGTCGGGTTTGGCGACAGGGCTACTGCTGGCTTGGCTGCAGGAGGTGTGGCCGCAATGTTCGGTAATCCCGCCGATCTGGCTCTTATCCGCATGCAGAGCGATGGCTTGAAGCCTCTAGCTGAAAGGAAGAACTACAAGTCTGTCATTGATGCTCTATCCTCAATTTCCAAGAGTGAGGGTGTTGGAGCCTTGTGGGCTGGCGCAGCACCAACTGTCGTCCGTGCCATGGCCCTCAACTTTGGACAGCTTGCCTTCTTTAGCGAAGCCAAGGCTCAACTCAAGAAGAATACCGATTTGTCAGCGCGAGCTCAAACACTAAGCGCTAGTGCTGTTGCCGGTTTCTTTGCCAGTTTCTTTAGTTTGCCATTCGATTTCGTCAAGACTCGACTGCAGAAGCAACAGAAGGGCCCCGATGGGAAGCTTCCCTATAAGAGCATGGCTGACTGCTTTACCAAGGTGGCCAGGCAAGAGGGCCTCTTACGATTCTATCGAGGCTTCGGTACATATTATGTCCGCATTGCCCCTCACGCGTAAGTCTATCCTGACATGATCCGTTGTTCCATGCATAGCTTCTGACACTTGACAGGATGGTGACTTTAATCGTTGCCGACTATCTGGGATGGTTGACTAAATAAATCAAGTTACTTTAACTTTGACCTCACGGCGTTAACAGGAAGGTGATGGCTTGTGTGCTTTTTTTTCCGTGGGATTTTCTGTCGAATACCAACACTCAAGTAGAGTTTCGTCCATGCGCGGATTTGTAGTTATTTGATCGATATATCTGCGAATTCGAATATCAAATAGATGATTAATTCGAACCATCAGACTTAGAACCAGTATTTTAAACTGGGACATGTCGGACAAAGTGTTGCGGAGTGAAGTTGAATGAGGGAGATTGGAGGTTGAAAATTACCTGGTGGGCCAACGGGATCCGGCTTTTTTGGCAGGGCCCACCAGACTTCTTTGGTCTGAGGGTGACGGGTCGTGTCGACCAAAAAACTCCGGTAAGTAACGTTAGTGGGAGGAGAGATAATGTCATTTTTGTAGTAAATAAGGAGAATATTTCGAACTAGCTCTGAATCTCGGCTGAGGTGCCAGGTCGCGGTTTGGTGGTTGATTTCCCGTCAGTCATTACACGGAAGACTGGGGCGGTTTGCTGATCTGGGACAGCAAAGTAGACGTCACAATGAAAGAAATCCAACTCAAGAGAGAGATATACTTGGATGGAAGCAATAAATATCGGGTTTTCTATATTTGCTGCTAATTGCCACGCAACTAATTTTCTGTGTATCGTCATAGAAGAAAAAGAAAAAATAAAATAAAATAAGGAACTAAGATAGTTGCGGCAAACGTAAATGCTTAGACGGCCACGTGATTTCGCGCCCCCGTTCGCGCTGATCATGACGCAACGAAGCTGTTTTCACGCTGCCCCGTTCACAAATCGTGAACATGCGTCTGCTGCTCAACTGCGACATCGGGCCTTAGGAAATATGCGACGTAAGAATGGTCGGAAGAAAGCGCACTGTACCCTCAAGGAGCTCTAGGCGAGGAACGGGCAGTGGAAACAACGATCAATCAGATATTTATAAGGCGATGCTGGCTGAGGCCGGAGTGTCTGCGCCTGAACAGAGCTCGCCAGAACGCCCGTTGAAAAGAAGGCGCCCAGGACCGCAGCAAATCCAAAGACCTCTGTCAGATCATTCAAGTGGACTAATCCAGGCGGATGCGCAATTGGATACACAGGAAAGCGACGATGAGGATGAAGATGTTGAATTTCAAGATGTAATACTACCAGTGCCAACAGTGCAGACTGTGGAGCTCGAGTCTGATGATGAGGATGAAGAAGAAGATGTACAATTTGAAGATGTTGATTTTTCTGCTCCTTTGGCGGATACAAAAACCAGTACTGAAGAATCGAACAACCTAGAACTCAATTTGACAGCTCACATCTCTGCTGCATCACCGTCGAAACGACCAGGCGAGCGACGCAAACCGATTTCTAAGGAAGAAAGGGAGCGTCGCGTGGATATACATAAAACCCATCTCCTTTGTCTTCTGTCGCACGTCGCACGCAGAAATCACTGGTGCAACGATGAACGAGTGCAGGAATCCCTGCGGCCACACTTGACTGACAAGATGGTTAATTATCTCAACCCGGGGTCTCATCTGCCGCAGTTTGGGCAGGCTGAGAGCTTGAAAAACGGCCTCAGACAGGCAGCCGATGTGTGGAAGGCCAAGTTTGAGATTACAGAGCGAGGGCTACGAAGAGCCCTTTGGGCCGAAGATGCGGGCCAGTTGCAAGATGTACGTTACTGCTACTACTGGTTTGTTTCCGACGAGAGTCTAACAGAGGGGGGACATAGTACGAGCCTGCGGAGGATCTGGATTCATGCCTAGACCGCGCTGACTTTCGCGAAGCGGCGAAGAAACTGCAGGGGTCAAGAGACGTTGGCGCACAACTTTACTGTGCTTTGTTGCGAAGCGTTGGTGTGCGGACAAGACTGGTGTGTTCGTTGCAGCCGTTGTCCTTTGCGCCCGGTGCCCCGACGTTGCCGAAGCCAAAGGTGGCGAAATCTGCTACTAAGACGACGCAAGTTGAACGAACGAAAGAAGCTCTGGCGAAATACGAAGCTCTCGCTGCAAGTGCTGGCCCAACGACTGGAACCGTTGGCGGCTCAAGTGCACGTCGAAGACTAGGCCACCCGAATGCCATGGCTTACAACTTTCAACCTAGACCTGCTGCTCCAAAAGAGCGGAGGGCATTCGAAGCGCCGATACGCATTCGCGAATCAGCTTATCCGGTCTACTGGGTAGAGGTATTGGATGCTGGACATCAAAAATGGCAGCCTGCTGACTCTGTGGTGACGCATACATTTTGGAAAACCAAAGCATTCGAGCCCCCGGTTAACGACAAAGAGAATTGTCTTGCTTATGTTGTCGCATTCGAAGCTGACGGGACGGCAAAGGACGTGACAAGGAGATATGCCAAGGCCTACACAGCCAAGACTCGCCGTTTGAGGGTTGAAACACCTCTTGACGACGGCGGGCGGTGGTGGCGTAATGCCCTAGAGCCCTTTCGACGACGGCATCCGACAGACCTGGACCAAATTGAAGAGAATGAGTTGACGGGTGCGGAAGCCCGAGAGCCGATGCCAAGAAATGTACAGGACTTTAAGGACCATCCTGTATTTGCGTTGGAGCGTCATATGAGGCGGCACGAAGTTCTCGTGCCTGAAGCCAAACCATCAGGAACAGTGAGTGCTGGAAGTCGCGGCCCTTTGGAAAAGATATACAGAAGAAGGGATGTTCGCATAGCCAGAAGCGCAGAGAAGTGGTACCGCATGGGGCGAGAAGTGAAGCCCAACGAAATACCAGCCAAGTGGTTACAAAAGAAGGCACGCCGCAAAGGATTTAGGGTTGACGACGGAGACGAAGCCGGCACGGACGACGACGCCGGCACGCCCATATACACATTCGAGCAAACGGAACTCTACGAAGCACCGGCGGTCCGCAACGGACGCGTACCCAAAAATAAGTTTGGCAATATTGACGCCTACGTGCCCAGCATGATACCTAAAGGAGCTGTGCACATTGTTCACGAGCACGCAGCCCGAGCTGCCTTCATAGTAGGCGTTGACTACGCACCAGCCCTGACTGGGTTCCAATTCAAAGGACGACAGGGGACGGCCGTTCTCAACGGAATCGTTGTTGCGAAAGAATTCGAGGCAGCCATTCGGTCTGTGATTGATGGGCTTGCAGACGTAGAGCAAGAGATGGAAGATGAACGCAAGAGACTAGCGGCGTTGAAGATGTGGAGAAGGCTTCTGATGGGATTGCGTATTCGGGAGAGGATATGGAGCGGAGTGGATGAGGAGGAGAGAAAAGAGGCCGATAGGGAGGCCGAGATGGAGGCGGAGCTGGCCAATGCGGAAAGCGACGTCACGGATGAGTTCAACATGGTTGTCGATGACGATGGTGAAGGCGGCGGGTTCATAATAGAGTAAGAACCATGATGATATAATGAAGATGCAAAACGACAACTGGCCTGATGAAGTGAGTGGTTCTGGCGGCGGAGATGACAGATTTTAGTAGGGGACTAATATTTCGCACGTCTATTATCGACACGCACAGAGATAAACATGGCAGCGCCTTGACCGACGCGTCATCTCGTTCGTCACATCAGAAGCACTCGGAGATTGTGACAGGGTTGCCTCGTCGATTTGAAGCATATATTGACGGCGGCTTGGCGCCCCGAACAATGTGTAATCAATCTGAAGCATGTATTGATGGCGGCTTGGCGCCCAGAACAATGTGTAATCAATCAGTCTGGTACTATGTGTGCCCGTAGAGCCAGCACGGCAGTGCGTTTGGTTATAACTGGCAGCTGACAGGAACGGACAGGGCTGGGCGTGGTTTGGACGGAGCATTTTCGTCATTGACGTGAGGCCAGGTGGGGAAAGATGAAGTTCTCGAATTTGCATGGTTCGGGAAGTTTAATGGTCCCGAGTTGTCGCATTGAAGGACCCCTCTGGCTTGCCCCTTGGAGGGGCGAATTTCTGATGATGAAGAAACATTGCTGCGGGTTCTCAGAGGTGTTGTTATATTGTGGTGATTATCATTATTATCAGGCAAGCGTATCGTATTACTGCGGGATTCGCTTGATGAGCACCATGGCGTTATGCACAGAATTCGCGCCATCTATCTTGGGATTCGGGGATTTGTCTCGGCCACTTGGGCATGGATGGGTGAGACACACGATGAGCCAGGTCTGAGCTTCCGGTTTGGGATATTTTGGTCGATTTCGATTTCTAAAATCGTGGCCGGGACGACAAGTCCGCGTAGTGGCTGTTGTTGAAAACTGTGGGTTGGTGGCGGTGCCTTTGCGTCAAAAGCGCTTCAGTTGAGAGACGCGCGTGTTTCTTGGGATTGGAATTTGGCGATGCCACGAACAACAAACAATGCCGTCGGTCAGATGCCGCGCAGGGCAAGCATGATGATGATCCAGCTAAAACTCTAATTTGACCGACATGGGCTCTGAATTAGAGCGGACATTGACCAATCCCGTCGTGATGTAGCTGATTCGAGGTGGGTCCGGATTCCAGACTTCGAGGAACAAGGATGGATGGGGCGGGCAACAACCCAGGCAAGCAAACAAGTTGTTAGTTCACCAACTGCATACATACCCAGTCCGAGGTGCAATTCCGCACCTTGCTGCTGCGCCTTGTCAATTCATGCAGTATCATCTGCTCTCTCTCCCCTTTGCTCAGTCAATATCCAACTAATTACTCATGTCTCGCGACCCTGGAGACCGGGGCGTCAACCGAGTGCTTGGTTGGCCACGCTCGTTCAACCGAGGCTGTGCTTCAACAAGAACCACGACATTGACTGAATATTGATGTCCAAGTCTTGTGTCCCCAAGGCGCGGGCCGCTCACCGCAACACCAATCCAACTCTAATCCGACCAGACTCGTCTCCTCTTGGCCGCGAGCCCTCCTTGGTGACATCACGACCTCATCATAAAAGACCCCATCACGACCGACCACCTTGTTTGACCTGGCTGTCCCGTTCTGCATTCATCATTTGCGCTGTGCATCCATTTCAACGGTGCTGCCCACCATATATCGCCTGGCCCTTCACATTGCAATTGGTACACCGTCAGGCACCGCTTCTGGTCCCAACTACGACCGCCCTTGATTTTGACACCAAGGGCAAGCTGCTCAATTGCGGTTGCGCTACACACCCCAAGTACTCAAATATACGCTTGCTTCTGGCTACTAGTACATTTCCTTTCTGCCGGCCCCTGACCTGAATTATTCAGTCCTTTTCCCGCAGTTGGTGTTGTGCGGCGCGAGCTGATGTGACGACCCAAGTTATCCCACTCGACTCGAACCTGCAGGAAATGATATTCAGACCTCGCTCACGGGAAATCTCACCAACCATCTCCTTACCCATATTCCGCCGCATCTGCTGACCTCGTCGGCCGCCGCTGATCATGGTGGTCAGAAAGCAGATATGGACTTTAATGTCCAAGAACTTCCGGACAGTGTTGTTTCGCCACAAGACAACTAGTCTCGTAATGGCCTTTCTTCTGCCCATCGTTCTAGCATCCTTCTTCAGCTTTGCCAAGAATCTCTTTGTCCCGCCTGCTAACTACGGTATCGGCCAAGTTCGTCCCATCATGCCCCTCCCCAAAGCCTTTAGCGTCGCCAAGGGCAGTGGGAGAACAAAGATTGCTCTTGTCAACAACGGATACACAGGGGGCGATATCGACCGTCTTCTGGACAAGATTGCCAATGATGTAACGACCGGCGTACCTGGCGCACCCATGGATGTTGTCAGAGTGAGCCGCGAGGACGACTTGGTCACGACTTGCCGTAGCACCTTGCGCGGAGTAACGACTTGCTTCTGCGCCGTTGTTATGCGCTCATCGCCAACCGAGGGCCCTGGCGGGTTTTGGAACTACACCATTCGAACTGACGCTGCCTTTTGGAGAGAGCCCGTCAAGTTTGACGTGCGCAAGTCGACCAACGTCGAGCAGGTGTACATTCTGCCCATGCAGAGGGCTGTCGATACCGTTATTGCCGCCTTCAATGGCTCCAGCTCGGATCCTTTGGCCAAAACCGAGGGGCTGCCCTTTGCCAACATGTCGCAAAGGGAACGAGATACAAAGGTCCGCCAGGCCTACCACAAGGCCATCGTCAACTTCATGGCCGTTGCCTTCATTGCCAACATCTTGTGGATCACGTACCACCTTACTGGCTTCGTCGCTACTGAACGCGAAAGTGGCATGTCGCAGCTTCTCGATGCCATGATGCCGACAGACAAGCCATGGAAGGCTCAAGCTGTTCGCATCACTGCCCATCATTTGTCTTTTTCTATCATCTACGCTCCTGCATGGATAATCGGCTCCATCATTATCCGCTTTGGCGTCTTTGTAAACACCAGCGTCGTCATCGTCCTGTTGTTCAACTTGCTTTCCGGGCTTTCATTTGCATCCATGTCCATCCTCTTTGCTTCCTTCTTCAAAAAGGCTCAACTTAGCAGTATTACCGCCACCATCACCATCCTTCTCCTCGGTATCCTAGCCCAGGCTCTCACAAAGCCAACCATAGGCCCCGTTGCCACCCTGTCGGTGCTCTTTGCCCCTTGCAACTATGTCTACTTTTTCACATTCATGGCCAAGTTCGAGAAGTGGGACACTGCGGCCAATCTTGCAAAGAGCCCACCCATGAGCTCATGGGAGATGCCTGGCATCGTCTTTTTCGTCATTGCCATTGCTCAAATCTTTGTGTATCCCCTGCTCGGTGCCATGGTTGAAAGGAACCTCTACGGCACAACCACAGAGGGGCGCAAGATTCAACTTCAAGGGGGCGGCGAGAGCTCTCTGGTCGAGAATGCCGTTGAACTGGACAGGCTCACCAAGATTTACTACCCCAGCTTCTTCTCCAGCCTGTTCTGTTCCAGGTTAAAGCCCCGCGAGCCTGTGGTGGCCGTGAATGAGCTCAGCCTCCAAGCAGGTCGAGGTCAGATTGTCGCCCTGCTCGGAGCAAATGGAAGTGGCAAGAGTACCACTCTAGATGCCATCGCAGGTCTGCACAAGCTGACTAGCGGTTCCATCTCTATCGATGGTAGGGGCGGACTTGGTATTGCACCGCAGAAAAATGTCCTTTGGGACGATCTAACTGTCCAGGAACATCTTGTCACCTTCAACAGATTAAAGGCCCCAGACGCTCCCGCTTCCAATGATGATATTTTAGAACTCATCAGGTCGATTGACTTGTTCCCCAAACGCCATGCTCTAGCCAAAACCCTGTCTGGCGGTCAGAAACGAAAGTTGCAGCTGGGGATGATGTTGACTGGTGGAAGTGCGGTTTGCTGTGTTGATGAAGTCAGCAGTGGGTTGGACCCCTTATCTCGACGGAAAATCTGGGATATTCTTCTGGCAGAACGAGGAAGACGCACCCTGATTCTCACAACCCACTTCTTGGATGAGGCAGATCTCCTTGCTGACCACATTGCTATCCTGTCCAGGGGGACTCTCCGCGCTGAAGGCTCATCTGTGGAACTGAAAGACAGGTTTGGCAGCGGGTACCGTGTTCATGTGCGAGAGGACACTGACACAACACACTTGCCTAGCATTCCAGGAGTCCGGAAGAAGCAAGCATTTGATTTGGTTACCTATGTGGCACCCTCATCGAATCTGGCTGCTCAAGTCATAAAGTCTCTAGAGGAAACCGGCATCACTCAGTATCGCTTTTCCGGCCCAACGATTGAGGATGTATTCCTCCAGCTTGCCGAGGAAATCAAAGATGAAGAGGCGTTTAAAAACATCAGTGCAGGCGTCCTTAGAGAAGTGGATAGTGCAAATGAAAAGGACCTATCTTCTTCCAATGGGAGCTCCACGCTTCAAGGTTTGAAGCTGCTCGATGGTCAGCGAGTTGGCTACGTCAAGCAAGCCATGATTCTCTACAGAAAGCGTCTTACTGTGCTTAAGCGTACTTGGATATTGTATCTCATCGCGTTTCTTCTGCCCATTTTCGCCGCTGGTCTCACGGCTCTCTATGTCAGGGGCAAGAAACAAGTCGGTTGCACACCTGCTGAACAAGACTCCTCTTTTGGAACCGAGGACGCCTTTACCCAAGTCAAGAACAACACCAAGATTGTTTTCCTGGCCGGTCCAACTTCCAAGCTCTCCATCACAACTGTGAACAGTTTGCTGCAGCCAATACTCAATGGTTCGAGACGTGGTGCTTCTGTGGGCTCCGCCGCTTTGCAGAATCTTAAACTGGTTGATACCTTTGATTCCTGGAAGCAGCATATCAATGACGAGTTTCGCAACATCACCACGGCGGTGTGGCTCGGAGACGAAAACTCCAATCCCGCTGTCGGCTGGGTAGCCAACTTGTTCATTACCAGCTCAATCACTGCCCAGCAGCTCCTCGACGTCTTCCTTACCAACACAACCATCGCCACAACCTGGTCGTCGTTCGACGTGCCCTTCAACCCCGGTATTGGCGATGCCCTAAGTCTTGTCATTTACATGGGCCTGGCGCTGTCTTGTTATCCCGCATTCTTCGCTCTTTACCCGAGCAATGAGCGAAGGCGATTTGTGCGCGCTCTGCAGTATTCCAACGGTGTTCGACCATTCCCGCTCTGGGGAGCCTACCTCTTGTTCGACTTTACCGTCGCCGTCATTTCTACAGCACTCCTAACTGCATTGTGGGCTGGCATGTCCGACGTCTGGTATCATCTGGAATATGTCTTTGTTGTCTTTTTCCTGTACGGGCTTGCGTCGATCCTATACTCGTACTTTATCTCCCTGTTCACCAAATCCCAGCTGGCCACTTTTGCTTGGGCGGCGGCCTCGCAAGCAGTCTTCTTTTTCGGTTATTTAATTTCATACATATGTGTAGTCACATATGTTCAGGTTGACCGCATTGACTCATCATTGCTCATATGCCACTTTGTCATCTCAGTCTTCTCGCCCATCGCGAACGCAACCAGAGCCATGTTTCTGGCGACAAATCTCTTCGCAACGGCCTGCGACGGCGAAAAAATATCAAAAACGCCTACGGGACTTGTCGAGTACGGCGGGCCCATGCTTTATCTGGTAATCCAGTGCCTCGTCCTCTTCGGCTTACTGCTGTGGTTCGACAGCGGCAACGTCGGCTCATCCGTCCGTGGTCTCTTCATCCGCAGCAAACCTGTCGCGGTTGCCGAGGAAGTGGGTGCAGAAACGGCCGACGACTTGACCCGAGTAACTAGCCCAGGGCAAATGAGGGATGGTCTTCGCGTTATACACCTGACAAAATCCTTCGGCAAGAACACGGCAGTGGACAATGTCAGCTTTGACATCAAGCGCGGCGAGGTGTTTGCCCTTTTGGGCCCCAACGGCGCCGGCAAGTCGACGACTATTTCTCTCATCCGGGGCGATATCAAGCCAAGCCGTAATGGCGGCGACATCTTGGTCGAGGATATGTCCGTCTCCAAAGACCTGGCCGCTGCACGAAGACATCTCGGCGTGTGTCCCCAAGTCGACGCCCTAGATCAGATGACTGTCCGGGAGCATCTTGAATTCTACGCCCGGATCCGCGGCATCCCCGACATCGAGCACAACGTCTCGGCAGTCTTGCAAGCCGTCGGCTTGGAGGCGTTTGCATCCCGCATGGGCTACGCCCTCTCGGGAGGAAACAAGCGCAAGCTCAGTCTGGGAATCGCGCTCATGGGCAATCCCACCGTGGTCCTCCTCGACGAGCCTTCGTCCGGCCTCGACGCCGCCGCCAAACGAATCATGTGGAAGACGCTCGCGGCCACCGTCCACGGCCGCTCCATCCTCCTCACAACCCACAGCATGGAGGAGGCAGACGCCCTCGCCGGACGAGCGGGCATCCTTTCACGCCGCATGCTCGCCCTCGGGACCCCAGACGATCTCCGCCGTCGCTTCGGCGACGTCCTCCACGTCCATCTCGTGTCCGGCACCGCCCCCCGAACCACCGACCAAGAAATGCAGCGCGTAGTCTCGTGGATCCAAACCCGCCTGCCGGCCGCCAACGTCGACACAAAGACGTACCACGGCCAGCTGCGCTTCTCCGTCTCCGCAAGCGAGGTGCTGGCCCTCCAAAACCAAACCGCCAACAGCAAACCGGAGGACATTACATCCCACGACAGCGACGTGGCGCATGCCGCCCGCCAAGGCAGCGCCATAGGCCAACTCATCGTCCTCCTGGAAGAGAATAAGAAGGTGCTGGGCCTAAGTCACTACAGCGTCAGTCCCACCACCCTGGACCAAGTTTTCTTGACCATTGTAGGCCAGCACAATGTCAAGGAAGAGAACTACGAAGAGAAGAAGCAGAGCAAGTGGGCCAAGATGATCAAGTCCAAGCATCTCAAGAAGTAAGGCCCGCGAATACCAACAAGATTATTTTTGTTTTGTGGGAAGGAGTCTCATACGGTGAACGGCGTTCAAGGTCTCACATCTCTGTTTTTGTGTCTTTTTTGTGTGTTTGTCTCAGATACCACGCACCGTCAGATGGTGCCGCGTCTATTCGTGTATTTACGTCCCTGCATACTCCGTACAAAGGTACATATTGCGCCGGCGGCTTTTGCCTCATCACGCCTGTCGAGAAAAAAGTTCAAGCGACTTGGTTTGATTATTTGATAGCTTTTAGTCCAAGAGATGAATTCCACCCTTTTTTTTTTTCAATAGTCGACATTTCCATATACTCATGGTACGTTTTTCACGTGTGTTCCTCCATCTTGACGCGCCACCGCTCTGTAGTCGTTGATTGATTGGATTCTGCCAATATATGCTGCGAAACCAACATGATGCTCTTCTTTGCTCACGGCGGTCAATTGACTGTCCTGGCGGAGTGCAAGGTACGAGCGCTCAGTTGGCTCTTTGGGCTCTAAAGACCGACAATATTGTCTGCATGGTGCGTACAGCGTTCGGTCGTGGCATTTAGCATGATACTACAGTCAGATAGAATGTACAGCTTCACGACCGCCAAAGACTTTGTTTCGCGACACGAGTGCCCATCTTGTTTCTCACGACAACGTGTCAAGGGCGCCATGCTTCTCCATTGTCAACTAGAACCACGCACCCTGAACGGCATTCTCCAACCCGATGCGTCTCGTATATTACATCTATGCGCTTTCCCGGCATACTTCTATCTTTTCCATATCATCGCCTTGCCACTAAACCAGCGGCCGTTTCAAGCCTCGAGACCATGGCATCCATTATCCCCAACAACCAATCCCAAAGTGAAGAAAAAGACAGCCCAAAGCCATACCCAAAAAAATGCACCCTCGCAAACCCCCATGATGTATTACGTGTATCTCTTCATGGAATATCATGTATGCCTTTCCATCATCAAACATCATAAGCCGACCCTACAATGCACCAAATACAAAGACGCTAGACACCGGCCCCGAATTTCTCTTTTCTGTCTTGGTGTTGTCCGACCACAGCTCCCCTTCCCCCAACGCCATGTGCTCGTTTTCATAAGACATAATTATTGATGCCCGTGTAAACTATGCGTCGCGATAGCAAAAGGCCGTTTCTCGGGTGAACTGGTATCAAGACCCAAGCTTGATGTAGCTCAAGCTTGATACCTCAGCATATTTGATAACCTCCCTTCATGTCCTAGCAGGCATTCCAGATGCCTGGATCTAAACTCTCTTCATCGACCGCAAACTAAAACAGACTCGCTGTACCCTTGCAATGTCGATGGTGTGATATACTCCCTCCTGGTTCGCTTCATGATTCCGTCTTCACGTCTCCCTCTAACTGATGCCTTTCCGTATCAGCGGTCGGTGTTGTCTGTGAGCATGTTGTGTCTTCACTGTCGTCCCCTTCTCCGGAAGAAAACCAGCCACCTCGTTCCCACTCTCCAGGGATATATAGGCAAGCCTTCCTCGTTTCGCCTTCATGGATACCAGCCAAGAGCGTGCTGAGCCTTTTGAAATCAATAGGCTTCAGAATCCATCCATCAAACCCAGCATCCACGTAGACCTGCCTTTTTTCTTCGACAAGAGATGCGGATACGGCAAAAATCGGTATTCTTCGGTTGGCGTCTGCCATTGCTGAGTGGCCCTTGTGTTCGCTGGATTGCTCGGTAGACCGGACCATTTTTGTGCTAGTTAAACCATCCACAATGGGCATCTAAACCAGGGGTCAGTATGTGCTGGATGGCCATTCTGAGACTAATATTCTCACCTGCATATCCATAAGAATAACATCGAAGTCAGGGGACTTGTCCTTGTAAACCATTGCGCAATCCTCGCCATTAACGGTATGCTGTACAGTGTGCCCAACTCTTTCTAATCTTTTTTGAAGAATTTTCATATTAATTGGATCATCCTCTGCCACTAGTATGCTGAGCGAAGGCTCTTTGTTTGACGATGATCCCTTGTCCGCAGGAGCCGACTGTTGTGGCTTCTGACTGGGAAGCTCGAACAAAACGCCGGAACTGTCTCCCTTGGGAATCCGAGATGGCAGGTCCACAAACTCATCAGGAACCTTAACGGCTTTGACACGAGTTTTTGAGTCTCGAATCTCAGCGGTACCCGGCTCATGTCGCGGATGGGCGTGGGAAGGCGGATCTTGCTTATGGGACACGGGGCTAGGGGTTCGAACAGTTCCGGTGCTGGTAACAGATGCGGACTGGGCGGTATTGCCTTTGGAACTCTGACCATGAGTAAAATATCCGGTTTGGTTTTCGTTTAGAGAAAGTGGTGTCTGGATGGCATCGATAAGACGGTCAGCATCGCTTTTCTGGCTAGCGTGGCTTACAAGGCTTTCCATGCTACGGCAGCTGCCCGCACTGCCCGTTCCAGTCGACCTTTTATCTATTTCAGCCGCCATGTTGCTATGACTTCCACGCTCTATCAGCATAATCTCTCCAGCCGGTGTAGCCTTGAGCTTCGGTGATGCTGAAGCAATCACTTTGCCAGTGTGAGTTGCAGATGAAACATCTTGAGAGTGTCCTCCGGACTCTGGGCTTAGGGTATCGTCTGGGAGATGAAAGGGCAATTGGACAACAAATCTGGATCCTTGACCTTCCTCGGACTTCAATCTAAGCTGGCCATCCATGTTTCTAACAATTCGAGCAACTACGGCAAGGCCCAGGCCCAAGGTTCTCGTCTCGCGCTGCTTATCAACAGGTTCGGGAGACGGCGATTCGAGTTCTTCGCTGCTGACCTGCTCCAAGTCTCGAAAAAGAGCATCTAACTGCCTTGGATTCATGCCGATGCCTGAGTCGGCCACAACAAAATCGACCCAGGCCATCCCGTCCCGGATTTCGGAAACAAACATCTCAACAGTGACTGATCCTTGGTGGGTATGTGCAACAGCATTTGCGGTGATGTTTGATAGTGCCTGCCGAACTCGCCGGCTATCGCCGTGGACGAATTGAGGGAGCCCAGGATGTTTTGTGACCTGGTAATCGATGCCCTTTCGTTTTGCATCCACGTGAAATGGGTCGGTTGCTTCTTCTATGCACGCGCTCAGGTCAAATACTTCATCTTTGATCAAGCTTTGGCCTTCCTCGGCCTTTGTGAGGTCGAGTAAATCATTTATCACATAAATCAGGGACTTGGAAGCTGAGTGAGAACGAGCCAGGTTCTCGCGAGTTTCCTGGTCCAATGAACCCTCAAGTGCAATTTCAAGATAGTTGATGATGGCATTGAGCGGAGTTCGCACTTCGTGGGCAGAGTTGGCCAAAAGGAGTCTTGTAAGTTTGCTGCTTTCTAGTGCTGCCTCCTTTTGCCGCCAAACTTCTATGAATTTACCTATAATCACTGATTAGCATAGTTTTCGTGTAGGTAGGATAGCCTCCTGAACGCATACCATAAACCAGGCAGAGTACAGCTGCTGTTTCTACTTGCTCTTCGTTCCATTCACGGCACTTTCCGAGAACGGTTTCATTCCAAATCTTGAAGCTTTTTCTGGGTTCAAGATAACCCGCAGTGCCATGTCGAACGATTTTCTCGTATGGATTGCCAGCCCATTTCACTTCCTTGATTTGGCCACGTCGAAAAAAGACAATAAAGTCGTTACCGCCTACACTTAGCGGAACATACAGGAGCCCGGCAATAACCTGGAATCCAGGGGGGTACTTCAAATCAGGAAAGTCCTCTCGAACGTCTTGCGATGATGCAACTGAAGTAAGCTTCCTCATTCGAAGATACTCCAGCATTGCCAAGGCCTCTTGGCTATGCTCTATGGTACCCAACATCTTGGTTTCGCCCTTTATTGATAGAAGACCAAAATCAGCATCAAATAGCTTCAACAAGTCGTCTGATGATGCGATGATATACCCCGATGGGTTCTTATCAGTAGGAGCCGTGTTGATGAGTTTTCTCGCTTGAAGTCTCGATGCATAGGACAATCTCTCAATATTTCTAGATGCAGTATCTCCAACTAAGCGACACATTTTGCGAATCGGGAAAGATACACGCATTCCATGGTCTCCATAGGCATGACAAGAGATCAGCCCCCAAAGCTCGTTGAATGCGTTTATAGAAATAGACATTGACGAACGCACCGCCATATTAGCCAGATACTTGAGATGAATAGGGGACATGGCACGAAGGTATGCGTGAGTCATGTCAAGAGGAACGTCCAAGTCTTCTTTCGTCCGGCACACCATTCGTGCTGTGTCGAGGTCCCGGTCGTAGAGAAGGCGAACTTTGTTGATCTTGTACAGTTCTCGTGCCTGTCGTGGGATGTCTGAAGCTGGAAAATGCAAACCCTTGTACAGATCGACGGTTTGAGACGTATCGACCAGTTCCGTAACAACCTTCCCATTGAACGATGCATCAAATTGGTATATCATGACACGATGGAAACCAGTCAGCTCCTTTACGATACCCACAAGAATCTTGAGGAATGCGTCCAGATTAGGAGCAGATGCCAGCTGCTCTTGAACCTGGGACATGATGTCAAATACTTGCATTGCCCCCTGCTCTCCTCGGCGCTTTCTTGCACTCCGCAGAATTCGTAACGGTTTGCTGAATATCTGTGTGCTTTCTTCTATCTCTTCTAGCGTGGGGTTTGAATGAAGGGTATCGTGGGGTGTGTCGGGGGTAAGTTCGTCTGCAGGTCGAAGCGGGTATTCCCGGTCATCATCTAGTTCGAATTCGCAAATGACTAAGTCGGGATGGGCATTGTTGATGTGGATAGCACACCATAATTTGATGCTTTTGCCCGTTTTCGGTAGCTTGATGGAGAGACTGAGGACCTCTGGTCCATTGATGGCAGGATCAGCATCCTCATCACGTATGAAGTCTATGTGGTCGAGCAAATTATCTTGTTGTTCTTCGGTCAAGATATCCAAGAAGCTTTTGAGACGAAATAATTGTTTTGGCGTATATCCGATAATTTTGCCCGAGTTTTCG